TTCGTTCTTTGAGATTCGGAAGTATTCCAGATTGTCTTCGCTAGGATTATTTAGAGCTTTTAATTTAGCGGCTTTTCTTTTTTCACACATGTTTAAGCAATCTTCATCAAACCACGGTTTGTTATTCTTATTTTCCTTTTTTCCTAGACACGAGTTACCGACCGCTTTAATATTATCTCTGATCTCTAATTTATATCAAGAAAGGTTTATGAATTGTCTTAGCAATGAAGCGAAAGGACACGAGGGTCAGCAGAGCACCAGCGACACTCCAAGTCCGACGGAACCGGAAGAAGAAGACAAAGAGGCAGGGATTTCATTTTATTAAATCAGATGGTTACAATAGGAGCTCCATCTTTCGGCAGCGCGGGCAACCTCTTGACCTCAATATGGCCGCCTCTTCGTACTGGCTCAGCTCTTTCTTAAATCACTCCTTCCTAACGTTACCTCTGTGCTTGGTAGGGTATGGGCTCTGTTGGGCGTACTAAGGGGAAATATACCATCAGCAGCGGGACTACTTTAATAAAAATAAAATGGAGTCTTACTCAATGTATTCACTTTAGGAATGCTCTTTCAATTCCTGAAATTATAAGAACGGAAATATCATACGAAATGATCTAATAAAAAATTATGAGTAATAGACACATAATTATTGATAACTTTTTATCAATTAGAGCTGTCGATAATTTTTTTATGTTTATATTATGTAATACAAGTATTTTATCGCTGATGTAAACTTCCTTCCAAATTATGGTGACATTCTAAATGGACATTTTGCGTATTCAACGCAGTATAATACCAGGAAGCAGTACAGTGATTTGCTGCAAGATGGCAGCACCAGTACGTACCTATATACTGGCAATGAGATGCGATCCAAGTTATAGATTATACAAAGAGGTATTTAGCGGAATAAACCAGCCCTTGAAGGAACATAATCTTAGGAAGCAGGACGTGTTCACAGGTTGCCGATCAGTTACCTTCGATTGTTAGTGCATCGCGATAATAACGTTGATTGCTTCATTCGTGAACGGTCACGGAAGAGAACCGACGCGGCACTAACGAGCCTTGGGGTCACGGATCAATCGAAAGGGGACGGCTCTCTTCGATCCAACTCCTCGATAATAAACACAATCATAAAAGAAAACATAACCAACATAGAAATAAAAGAAAACATGACCAACACAGAAATATAATCCTCGTTAAATTGTATTTTATTCCGTTTAGCATAAACTCATGTACAATCAAAAGAGCAGCAAAAGCTTGTTGAACCCGACTATACAAATATATACTTCAAAACTTACTTTTCAAATTTCTATCGAAAGCTCTATGAGATTCCATAAACTCCCAACTAAAACTAATTATTTTCAAATTAGTGACATTGTTCCTAATAGATTTTTGAATTCTTAGAGAAGTTTGAAATAAATTTAAGACAATGTTAAACATAACAATGGTTTTCAATGCTGATTGAGTGAATGAAATTATTCCTTTGTCACTACAATCATTGGTAAGACCAATATGGTTTCAATCCCGAACATAAAAAACATGGTTGATTTGATACAGTAATAATATCAAGCAAAAAGAGAGAAATTATTCATGAATCTACAAAAAAAAAAAAAAATAAGAAGCATAAGACATTGAGCAGACCAGTCCAAAGGTCACAAGAGTCGAAGGACAAGACAATCCTGGATAAGAAAAAGAAGACACGGCGATAACTGGATATGCAAGGAGGTGATGCAACGGTGGCAGTGCCATTTAAATAGAGGAATAAAAAACCGAATCGTGAGTGAGTATGGCCCCTCCGTGTGTGTTTGTGGCACTCCCGTGACGTCACGGCTGACAGCTAATGACGTAACCGCTATCCCCGACCTTGCTCGACCCTACCTCTTAGCATCGGCTCTGTCACCTCCTGCCGCGCCATTACATCGTTACAATGTCGGATCGATTTTCTTTTGCATTGTCGTTTAATATCGCAACTACTTTTTGTCACTGTGTAATCTCTGAAATCGGAGGAACACATTTTTCCTCATTTCAATTAAGGTTAGTTCTAAGTTCAAAAAATGGAAAAGAGAAAAATATTTTTGACATGCCATGTTGTTTTATATCAAACACCTCTATTTATGTATCCCAAACTCACAACAATCGAGGAAAAATTACACAATTTTTAAGTAAATATTTTGATTGCTTTTAAATAACAAGTGAAGTGTGATACAATAAAAACCAAAGCAAACAATTTAACTAACATAAGTACATTTAAAAAAATTTCTTTGAGAAGGAAAGAAGCAGAGATGAATCTATGGACTTGACGCTTAACAGGTCAGATCTAGGTGGCGGTAGCTCCATGCTAACAACAAGTAACGGGAAACTTCCGACATCTGTTTGAATCTGCCTAGATCTTTCTTTTTTTCTTTTTTTTTTTTTTAGAACTACAAAAACTAGTTAAACTGTTTCATTGATACATTGTATTGATCGTGGAGTTCCCAAGAATATTTTCAGTTGGCACAATATACATTTATCACTATTTTTAATGAATTGTCGAATTGAAAAAAATATATAGATTTATCTGATGTCGCGAATTTTCCCTTACTCGTTTCGCTGTTCGAAGTCACTTTTGAAGACCATAAGCTCTATAGTATCTAACTTAAGAGATATTTTAAAAAATAAAAATTGAATTTTGGGAACAGAATTTATCTTGAATTCGATTCATGCTATTATCTACTAAAGTTATTTTAAAATAGAAGTAGTTCACTCTACGTTGTTTCAGCTTTATTTATTAGCTTCAAATAGGTGGGATATAATTGTCCGAGAAATGCCCGAATCTTCAATCTTCCCAAATTCCATAGTTTCATCAATTTCAATTTTATAAATACAATTTCATCCATCAAAGACTTAACCCACTACATCAAAGAAGAACAGAGGAGAATTACATTCGAAGGAGTCTTAAAACCCAAACATGACCTTATCGACTATGCTAAGCTGTTGTGATTGGGCGATGAATACAGCGCTCCGGAAATAGCTAGCGCGCCCCAATACCTGTTCCATATCCGTTCCCGCCTCCTAACCACCAGAACATGGAGGCAGTAAAGATTTAGGTGGCCTTTGTTAACAACTTATTATCTAGATATTTAAAGTAAATTGTCACCTTTGTATCAACTATAAAAACCTGTAATGTCTTTACAATAAAATAAGCACTACAGGTTTGACTGAAATTAATTTATTGAAAGCAATTATCACAAACTAAAACATGTGTGTGATAATAATTCTCTCTTCGAGTTATATCGATGTTAACTCTTACTCACGATCGGCACAGCTGATAACGATTGTTATATCAAATCAATAACAATCGATACCACAACAGCTTTGGGGTAGTTTTTGATCTACAAATCCCCGTAATGACCATATTTCAATGCATTGCCCGATAATCTATTGAAATACTTTGAATATGACTGGTGGTGAACTGCCTGCAAGAAACAAGATGAAGCTATCCTTAAGGATCATGACGCATTGAGCAAATCGTTCAGGTACAAGTCCACAAATGTAAATAAGAGTCACTCCAAATTATTAATAAAAAGCATTTTTACACTTTTAAACAACATATTTTGTTATAATAAGAGGTTAGTTTGAAAACTGTCACAAGATGTGGAGCTGGTAGGAACAGTTACGACCTATTAGCCTTCTACAAGGACCTAAACTATGATTGTTGGCATTTTTCAACTTCTCATGAATATTCGCCCGCCGCTCCGACAGCTTCCTGCGTCGTCAGTTAGCGAGGTGTAAGGTACGGCTGCGGCACTACCGTAAGGGAGAAATAGTCCAAGTTTGTGGACACCTCCGCCATCCAATCGGGATTAGAGCAATTGCTTTTCCGCACTTGTTTCTTAACGAAATTCATTTTTTTTTAATTTAAAGTTTAAATCATTGAAATACTAACGCGCTTTCTAGGCAACACAGGTGTTAGGGTTAGGTAGAGATGACCACCTATATCATCCTTTCGATATTTTAACATCTTAATTTTAAAAAAAAATAAAACTTGTTTTATGAAAGGGCTAGAAACTATATAAGAATCTGACCGAGTATATAAAAAAAAATATACTCCTCTTGCCTGTTTCATATGGAATGTATATTTAAGGAAAATGTCTATATTTCGAAAATATCGACTATTGATGGCCATTCCTAAGTAGAGTTGAATAGCGCGTGTGGGTCTTTTCTCATTCTGGGACCTTTCGGGGAAAATTCTGAGGATTACGAAAATGGGCAGGAACTAGAAAATGAATTTTACTATGGAGGGCGGAAGAATTTATATTTCCATTAATTTATTTAAAGAGGGAAAAAATATATTTTTTGAAGCGCATAAGTGCTGCAGAATCAATATCTATAATGATATTCCTATTTCACAAATGTTTATGATTTTGATAAAAATATCGACTATCGATTTTTCAAGTCCTATATTGCTATAAGTCGATATTAATGTCGATATTGGACCTTCGATATCCCACCCTCAGTGTTAAGTATTACGATGCTACTACCGGTAAGAATTTGCTTTTCTTGATCTCTTGGTGTTCTTGGAGCATCCGCCTAGGCTTTCTCAATCCGGTGGTCTTTCATGGCTGGGTCCATCCGTACTCAAAACCTGTTGTGTACGGGTACTTTCTGCAGTGACTAACAGAGGGAATCGTTCTCTATGAGAATATCGGAACCGGTTTCCCTCAGTAATTTATCCTTTAGTTATTCGAAGGCGGTGCAGTCGACTATGAAGCTTTGCTCGAAAGCCTCCAAGCCCAGTTTGGGAAGCATCCCCCCCCCATACCTACGCATACCTTCCTCGAGGTAGATCAACTCTAATAGTTATTTTCAATCGTCGATTCCACCCTTCGAAAACATTATTATTATCCTCCCGAATGGTGCCATCCATTCGCTGGGCCTCTGGACAACTTTACCTCAGGATTCCTCGGCAGGCCAGGTTGCCTAGGTGACCTTGAACGCCAGTTTCATCTTGCCTTGGAAAGATGATCCTCCAGCTAGTACTCACGCTCCGATACGCCCTGGTGAACCCAAGTAAAGCCGTTCGCTGGAGTGTTGCCTACTGCTCTTCCGTCGGTGCGAGCTTCATGTGGGTCGGTCGAGCCATGTGGGGGACGCATACCTCAGAGTGCCCATTAATTACTTAACTAATTTACAAAATTTAAAGTATGTATTGCAATGCCTTGAGGAGTGGCTAAATAATATCGCACTGCTACAGAACGAATGGGCCAATAAGCCTAGATTCTGGTGTAAGGGAGAGGAACGTCTAAAGGTTGGTAAGAGGAGATAGTTTGAAAATATCAATCACGAAATCGCACTAATAATCCCAAACCTTAACTATTTAAAAAACATAGCCTAATTGTTGGCACGGCCAGTTTATCTTTATACCATATGAATTCCTTAAAAAAAATAAAATAACGTTAATAAGAAGATGTGAACAGATATACATAACAGAACTAACAAAAATAATTTACATAATTATTCTTGTACAAATAAATAAAGAGAATAAGTTTTCGAAAGGATAAAGACATGATTAAGAACGGTTTTTTAAAAAGTTAAATATTTCGCATGGCTGTGTAGTCTAGTAGTGATGTCATATTTATTAAAATAATTATAGTTAAATATAAAAGAAAAATTGAAATCATAACGGAAATGATGATTCAACTGTCTTGTTCTCCGCCATAGGTTATGCCATTATTATAAGAAAGAAATAAAAAAATTGTTTTTATCTACAAACTTTATTTTCGGAAGATAAAATCAATCTACAAAGTAATGAATTATTTTTGATTATTTCCAAAGAAACCCCTTATCACAGCTGCCCCCCTCGCTGCCTCCTGAATTATGCCGTTATCAGTAGCGATCGAAATTGCGGCGCTGCCCGATCGATAATAAGATGGAGAAGACAGCTGCCATCACAGCAATTGAACCCAATTGATCCTCCCATATTGACGCTCCACAAACCACCATCGACAATCCCTTCGAGGCAGTTGTTGGCAAGTTTTTTAATTTCATTTTAGAGAATTGTATTTTCTGTCTTGTTTTGTTTTTCGATTTTCAAATGCGCTGAATTCGACAGCACTCAGAAAAAAGTACATACATAGTTGGCAATATAAATTATTATATCAACTAACGGACGGTCTGAATATGACATACCTATTCCTCAGCTATCTAAATGTGTCAAAATGGAACTGAAACTGCAGAGAGAAGGCGGATGGATAAATATAGTAAAGCAATAAACATATTTTTAAATCTCGTTAGATAAAATTCTAAAAGATGGTTTGAATACTTCGTACCTCAGTGGACCAATAGAATCGAACTACACCGAGGTGTGGACGGAATAAAAACAAGCCATCCCCTTTCCATTCGAAGCAATCTCCTCCGGCAAAACGAAAACTTCCACGGTGATCCACTAACCTATTTCCCGGCCTCATACCCGTCGGAATGGTTAGACAGAGAGATATCTTAATACGCGATCGTAAAGCTCGGGGTCGGGAAGATGGAGGGAGGATTTGCGTTATATTGCGGTCGTAGGGAGCCGAGAGGCAATCATCAGTAAAGGATTCGTCCGGATACTTCTTGAGAATCGATATTGACTTGAACGGACATCGATTGAAGGAGGAAGCGAACAGGAGGGCGAGAGGTGCCTCTATGAATCGACTTTGTGCTAACATTGGCCGATTCGATATCCCGAAGCCGCGAGAACCCAACCACTCCTGCCGTGTTTGCCACAGAGGTCGCAGAGGTTACAGAGGTTGGAGATTGCTGCGCTGGGAGCTGAGGTAGGCAGGGCCCAGTTCACGGGCAACGCCATCATCCGAGGGACATTGTGATTCCTCTCCTTCCTCCGCAGTGTAAATATTACAAGAGGACCTCAACCTCAATTGTTGACTAAGCGAAGGAGGATATCACAAACTCTCTACTCTGTGCACATTCACTTACCTATATATGTGATATATATTGAGGGAAAGTATTGCGATCATGAAAAATTTCTAATCTGAGTTTTGAACGGAAATACGTGTTTTGAGGTCCCCTGAGTCCAAATAATCAAGTCCTGCAAAATTGCTCTGCGTGTATGTCCAGCAACATTTTCGTTAGAATCGGCTGACCGAAAGTGCCACTTTATATAACTTGAATTTCGACATTTTTACGATTTTCTGGAGAACAGCTCAAACGATTTGGATTAAATTTATGTAGGTCTTATTTTCATCGATGTTGTTAATCACTGCCTTAATGCCATATTTTCAATATCTCTTCCTCTAAAGTACCTTCAATTTGTTTTATTAGAAATAATTAATCATTTCATATATAACTGTCACATAAAAATCAGTTAAAAATTTAAAATATGAACTGATTCGATACTTACCTAAAGGAGAAATAACCTAAGATAATATAGAACCGACTAAACCCGAGCGCGCAGCCGAGCTTGGCCGAAGGTTAGAACGGGCTTCTATAAATAATATGCGGTTTTCATAAAGCGTTGATATTATTTAATATTTAATTGTATAGATTACAACAATATAAAAATTAAAATTTATATACATTTATTAATGCTTAAACAAATAATAATAACAATATATATACCACTCATGTGGGTCTAAAAATATTTCGTGGCACTTTATTATTTATTATAATGAAGTAAATAATCAAAATCGTCAATAGCAATGATTAGCGAAATAAATAAAAGTATAATACATTATTAGACGGATAAAAAAAATATCAAAAAATATTTTTTACCGACTGTAGTTTTTAGTTTCTTTTTCCTTTGTCTGCAAATACCTATTTCTCCTGAAAGAAGGATAGTAAGTGAATGTTGTGTGATAAGCGCACCGCATTAATTTCTTTTGTTATACAGGCTATGTTGTAAGGTTATTATATTTTTTCTTTTATTCATGACTAACTATGGTTCCTGAGATATCTCTGCTTGAGTACCCAGATCATTTAGTACCGTGAAGAAATTAATAAATACAATAGAACACAGCTGATGTAATTAGATAGAGATTTAGATAGTGAATATTTCACCGGTAGCTGTTTTAAAACAAAAAGGATGTTATTTACTTCGCACTGCAAATCAATTTTAAATGAAGACTGCGATTTCTCTGTTTCTGTTACGTAGTTATATTATTATTTTCAAACAAAGAAATAAATAAGTACATATTTTTTTACCAATAACAAATAAAACTGACAACATTGAATGTATCTATTTGAAATTAATGTGAAAGATAAAAGGTGAAGTTATACTGTGTCCCTGCTTCTTGGATCAATTGAAGCAGTTTTCCGTCTTAATGGAATTATAATTGCAAAATATTTATTTCTTTTTTATCTAAACAGGTCATAACGTGCACTATAAATGACCCAATTGGCGGCAACTAAAAACAATTTGAACCAAAATCATATGTTTTTATTGAAAAGCGATTTGAGGTAACCAAGTAAAAAAGACCCAGGCAATAATTTTTAATTCAACATTTTGACAAAAAAAAAAAAAAAAAAAAAAAAGGACATACGTTAAAAATATCAAACCTATCAAAATAGTGTAATACTATACTAAATGTATAAATGTCTTTGTTATTTTATGTTTCTGAACTTTTTATAATTGGTTTTGGAATTAAACTTATCAAAATGGCGGAGATATAATAAATATGACACACCAAACCTAAAGATCTGTTTAATTCAATTTCGTGGAGCAGCAGAGATGCTCGAATCCTTGTCATGGCAAATATATTTTGAATCGAAGCCAACAATAATATATGAATAAAAAAATAATTAAATAACCGAACTATAGAAATTGGGAAATTCTATCCACCTAAGAGAATGAACTTCATATATCTACTGCAAAGCAAAGGGTTCGCATCCACACAATCTAACGTTAATCGTAGTACTGTCATTGAATACATGTCTCATTTCGTCGACTTGAGGCCCCTATAACCGAAAGAGGAGGAGTGTGAATTGTTTATCAAATATGTTTTTATGACTGTAAGCCGTATGTATCATCGTTAATTCTTCATCAAATCCACAAGATTGAGCCACCGAATTTGGAGGTTTCCTTCTCCTTCAGGCGGAAAAATAGTTCAATCACCCCGAAAATTTAGGCAAAAAGTTATGTAAGAAAAGAAAATTTAATTGCGAATAATTCAAAAATTAAACCCTTTCCCCTTTAAAAGGAAAAAAAAAATCACCGAAATCGGTTTTTTTTTTTTTTAAATACAGCTTATTGAAATTTGTAAACATGTTTTTTCCAAACATTGAGTTTTGTTATTTCCCCTTTTTTTTTTCTTACCCTCCAAAATGTTTATTGAAACAATTTACATATATAGTATACATGATAATACAATATATATATGCAAACAAATTCCTTCCACTGCCCGAGGGCACCAAAACATTGAAGAAGTATATATATATATATATATATATATATATATATATATATTTTTTTTTTTTTTTTTTTTTTTTTTTTTCCCTACCCCCCAGGAATTTCTTGATTACAAAATACAATATATATATATATATATATATATATATATATATATATATATATATATATATATATATATATATATGTGTGTGTGTATATATACATAAATTTACAATTTTCTTTTATTGCCCAAGGGCATTTTAAGGTAAGCGGGCAATGCACGCTGTATGCGTTCTTTATATTTTGATACGTTGCATTATTTTATTTTCACATTAATTTATTGTTTGATCACTGAACAATATATTGTGCTAGTTTTCGCACGGGCCTACCAGTTAACAATTATTAACAGTCATAACGTATGATCACATGATATCATTTCAAACCTATTTATAACCGAAAGACTTCAAGTATTGTAAATTTTTTCCCGGTATTTTGAGCTCAAATCGTTTCAAAGCTTTCACGGGATTTAACTGATTAATTACAGTTGTAAAAGTCAAAAATAGATCATGGCATCCGCCAAAAAAAAACTTAACAAACCAAAAGTTGCTAAAAAGCGGTTCGATGAAACACTCTTTATACGGTAATTTGACGGAATTTTGAACACAAATTTAAAACAATTACGAGATTTCACCGAATAATTGAAAATATTAATTATAAAAATCGTTTCAGGTGTACGCTCGAAAAATCTTTACACATCGTTTGAAAGGAAATAATTTTAGCTGTGAGTAAAGAAGCAAGGAAGAACAGTTCCTTCTTAGGAAAACTAACTCCCTCGTTCGTTCACATTAAAGCCTGCCCAAACACGTACAATCGTTAGGCGTACAAACTCGTTACATCTACAAACCACTTCAATGAATAATTCTATCTGGAGGAGACGTTTTCACTCCATGTAGAGATGGTAATGATGTTCAGTATGTCACACCGATTCAGCGAACCTCTATACAACCCCACACAGCGAAGAAGGGAAATCGAAATATTATATACCTACTTTAGAAGTTAATAAATAATGTCAATATCTTCCGGGAAACTCCCAAAACTCTGATAAGAAAAGTATGAAGATAATGAAGATAAAACAAAATATGATAATAAACCTAAAATTCCACCCCAATAACAGGATTTGTAAAGAAGAGAAATAGTTCCCGCGAATAGAAAAATTCAAATATCTCGGCTCCACAATAACCAATGACCAACGGGCAGAAATAGACCAGCGTATAACTACCCCAAACAGAGCTTTCTCCTCCCTCTCAAAACTATTGAAATCCCAAAAAAATCTTAAGAAATCTCAAATTGAGTGTGTACAGTGTTATGCCGTGTACACAGGCATTTCTGATGTACGATTGCGACGAGACCTACATCCTAGAAAGAAGTGTCGAATAATTTTTGAATTTGCTCCCTTAAAAAAAAAATAATAAAATAAAATATATATAGATCTCCATTATTTGTTATTTATTATCTCAACCTATAAATGTATACGTAGTGTCCTAATTCTAATTTGATAATTATCTAGCTATTGTAATAGCTTAATAAAAAAAATAAAAATGTTTTGAATCAATCTCCACTGGGTTTAGCATTATAAGTAAGAATTATAACTTAGAAAGGTTTAATTTATTGAAATCATCATAATATTTTCCCGTGAATTTCTTTCTTAAATACGTGAATATTTAAAAAACTCTAATAATAGTTTAAAGAAAGAAAATTCAAGAAATAAAAAGTAATAATTATAATTTTATAATTCAACCTATAAATGTGTCCACTGATGGAAAAAGGTTGGAAACCTCTGCATTAGGAAATAATTTGTACGTAGGTATATAACTAAGTGAGTTTTAAAAGGAATTATTAAATATTAACAAATTATATTCAATTTCACATGCTTTTTCTCATTGATTTTTATTATATCAGTTTAGACCCTATAGTTTATGAAATATTTATATCCAACTACTTTTGCTAATAAAAATGAAGCCACATAGCATAATTTTTCAAGAACAATTTCAAAATAAATATACGGTAAGCTTTGAGAAGCATGGTACAAAGTTCAGCGGAATTTTCCACTGTCAAATTGGCGGTCTCTTAATTTCACTATAATAGCAACAACTAATATCATTTTTTTTTTTTCTTTTCTTACCCCCCAAAATGTTTATTGAAACAATTACATATATAGTATACAATAATACAATATATACATGTAATAAATTTCTTCCACTGCCCAAGGGCATTGCTAATATCATAAGAAAGGATCAAACTTATATAATTATTAAATGAAATATTTCAAATTCATGGGATTCCATTGCTAAAATTCAAAAATTTGGAAAAAAAAATAATCATAAAGTATTATGAGAAGGAGTTAGTCGAGGGTGCGGTCAAATAAATAAA